GCAGAGAGCAAACCTAACCACATACACTGCCACACCATTCCGAACCACAGTTGAGCACCACACGGAGAACAAAACAGAATGAGATAGGCATGGGGGTCAGGGGCAACTTCAGTCTCAAGACGGGCACAGGAAAGCCACTCCCAGATGGTGTGTGGGTAGCCGCCTACAGAAAGTCTGGGGCAGGAAACAGGAAGTGCGAGCGGACAAAAGCTGCTGCGTTCTCTAGGTTCTAGGTATTTTTTTCCATAAACTAGTTTACATAACTCCAGCGGGTGAGGTAGTGAGATTTTTCACACCGTTTTCTCAATAGGAACCTGAGGACGATGACAGCTAACTTTGTTAGGTAACAGAACCAGGTGGTCTGGTTCCAGAGTTGGTGGGCCACCATTCTGTTTCCCAAGTCCATGATGGGGAAGGAATAGACCTGGTGCTGAGAGCAGGCCTCCATCTTAGATGCAAGGTAGAAGCAGAAGTGTTGACATACATTCACTCGGGGAAGTCTCCAACCTCTTGCCAACTAGTACCAGACTGAGGTAAGGCCTTCAGGGACCCTTCCGGTCCTATAGTCTCCTCTGAGGCAGTCCAGAGGCCTCTGATCCCTGCCCCCAGCCTCTCCCTTGGCAGCTAACTGGGCCACCTCATTCTAAAGGGATTTGATTCTCTGAGACAACCGGAGACTGGTGAGAAAGGACTTAGGGATTAGACAGTGATACCCAGGAAGGGACTTAATCAGAGGGGTTCAGGTGTGGGAAGTGGGGCTGGGAGAGGATTTGTATCTCTTGACAAAGCCAGGGCAGACTGCGGAACTGAGGAGGAAGTAGGGACCCAGGGGAGGTGAGGAGTGGACTTAAGTTCTTATTTTCTCTTTGCCTTTTAATATCTCATGATAACAACAACAGTAATAATAACGGTGCCTCACCTTGTGCATTCACCACTTTCCCAGCTTGTCACTTGGAATTATCACAGTGGCCCCTGGGGGAAAGGCAGGGATTAGTTTTCACTGTCTGTGCAACTGGCACTCAGAGAAGAGAGCTAACCCGAGGCAGCTGCAGTCCCACAAGGCAGGGTTAGGAGGAGGGGACCTTCCTCTGGGGCTGCCCTATGAGTTCAAGGGCTTTCCAGAAAGTTCCTATGGCCCTGGTGTTGTGGAAGTAGAGTGATCCACAAATATTTGTTGAAGGGTTTAAAAGACCAGGCTGTGTTTCTGTCTCACATCCCAGTGCCAATCTTTGTACCACTTTGCCTGCCATGGGCATCGGGAGATCTGAGGTCAGGGTACTAGGGGAGGGACTTTGATTCTGAGGCCAATGTTCTGCATTGGATGAGGAGGCCCCAGAGGGACAAGCAAGTAGCCATGAGGGGAACACGGTGCCCCCATTCTTGCTCTCACACCCATGCATGCTGGTGCTGAATAGCCCCCATGACACATTAGTTCTGGGACACAGAACAAGGCTGACACTTCCAGTCCAGAGCTCTTCCTGTGCCCAGAGCTGTTCACTAGAAGAATTTAAATCCCAATGCCCTAATTCCTAAAATTAAAGCTCTCAAGCTCTTCTTTCAGTTGTCCATACTTCCTCTGCCTCAGTTCCCAGCTAGGCACACTCAGAACTACACACATTTATGCTGCCAAAGCTTACGTCCAGGCCCCCTTACCCTGGAGGTCAGGTCCTTCCTGTCAGCCCAGGTGACAGTCACAACAGAGAAGAGTCCGGGTGAAGGTCAGGAAAGGGCTTCTGGTTGGCAGAGGTCACATTTCAGTGGACAGATAGGGGAGAAGTTTCTGGAAACAACTTTGGGTCAGGGCATTGAGGGCCAAGCAAGAACTGGATGGAAGAAATAAGAATAAGTGACAGGGGCAGAGGGGACAACTGTGTTTGGGGAGAAGCAGGGAACATCTCTGACCAATAAGAAAGTGTATGGAAAGGGGGTTTTGGCAGTTCAGGCCACAAGGGATGCAGGGAAGAGATGGAGTAGGCCTTGAAGCAAGACAGTGGGATTGGGGTGATTTCTAAAGGATCAGCAAGTGATGGTTCTTGAGCAGAGAGAAGCAATATACCTTGCATGGAGGGAGAATTGTAGGGCAGGGGGCAGGGAATGGAGAAAGGGTAAGGTAGGAAGGAGAGAGCCTCAGTAACCAGCTCCGAGAAGTTTACCAGACTGTTTATCTAGGATTTATATGATCAGATTAACCACTGGCTTCCTAGTGGGCTGGGCATGGCACATCTCAGTGGAAGCAGCCAGAGAACTGGAGAGGGCAGACAGGAGGGAGAATTCTTTGCTCAGTCTTTTTCTTGGGTATCCACAGCTTGGCTTGGGGAGAGACTTCAGGGACTAAGTCCCTTGGGATAAACATGCCCCTTGTGGCTTTTTGAGTGGTCCCTGGAGCCAGGTTTGTCTTGACTTTAGGTGCTCTCCTCACCTCATGTGACTTCTCCATACATCATGTGACTTCTCACCTGAGAGGACTGGCCAGCCCTTCTAAGAGAAGCCATCTGCATGGGTGTTTAAATTGTCAGAGGCTGCACCACCAGAAAGGGCTGTTCTACTAAGAACACACTGCCCCTGGGAGGCTGCTAAAGCTCTTGAAGGCCTCACATCCATCAAGGAAGGCAGCTCTGTCCTGTACCAAGCCAGAAGCCAAGTAGCCAGGGTCACCTGCGTTGCGTGGAAACTCTGCTGAGGTCAGGCTTAGGGGCCTGCCAGCCACAAGCTGCCCCTCAGCCCACCCTTCTTCAGATCTCTTAGGAGGAGGCCACACCAGGGGCACAGCAGGGTCCTTTTCTATGCCAAGAACAGGCCTATCGCCACCTGCCTTGACTCTGGATGAGGAGAGACAGGTGGGACTTCTGCTTTCCACAGTCCCAAGACCTGGATTTGAGGCAGCTGAGGGGTCACCTCTACACTGATACCAGGCAAGGAGTGGGTTCAACTGATAGCTTCCCATTGCCCAGCCACTGGGCACCCTACATCTCTCATGCTATCAATGACTTTGGGCAAGCTATGGCCTCTGTGAGCCTGTTCCCCACTCCCATCCCCACCCCTAACCCGGCCGCTGTTACTGTTAGGTGTCTCATGAACTCTATGAGCTGGAGCTTCCTTCACCTTCCTTCCAGACCATCCCCAGTACAGAGCTTCACTTTGAAGCTCCTCCTCCATCCTCTCCTTCCTCTCTGCTTTCCCCTCCAATACTTGTCATTCTTTGGGCCCAGGCTGGCCGCCCTGCCCCAGTCCTGAGTGCTGTATCACGTATGTATGCCACCATGCTCCCATCCATGTTTACAGGAGCCTAGTCTAGGGGATGCAGGGTTTGTGGGGATTCTGGCAATTGAAGCAAGGCAGTGCGTCCGGTGAGTCTCGTGGCCTAGAAGGTTGATGCTCCTAAGGAGGGTCACACCAAGGTTTTAGGCACTGCCCGCCTCGCCCCGACCAGCATGCTGCCTCTGCATCTCTGACTGTAGCTCTGCTCTGCACCTGTCACCAGAACTTAGCTCAGGCTACTGTGTTGAGAGAAGTTGAGGAGTGTCTTCTGCTTCTCCCACATCTTAAGGTGCAGGCTGAGTTCTACTCTCTCCATGGAGCCTTCTAGGATCTCATCATCCAAGGAAAGCATCATCCTTCTAAGCCCCTACTGTTTGATTCCTCTTCTTGGCCATCTGCCTTGCTCTTGCGTTCTCTTTAGTATGTTTGGGACCAAAAGATGCTATCTGAATATTTCTGGGTTCCAGAACAATGCCTCCAGCCTGACGTATAGTAGGAAGAAAAAGTGGCCCCAGCCCCATGACCAGGTATTACCTCAAAAGTAAGATCAAAGTGGCGGGGCCTCTAAAAGGAGAAGGCTATGAACACTGTGTGAGTCAGAAGCAGTAACTGGGGGGTGGGGAGGCAGTCTGATGGCATAGGCTGAACAAGAAGCAGCTAGGGTACAGCTGCCAGAGTCCACCCACTAGTCAAACTTGTCACTAGTGGGGAGTCCACAGGCCTTGGCCAGAGCTGGGAAGTAGATAAGCCACAGCTGGGCTGCTGTGGGCCCTGGCTTCCACTGTGGTTTTCTCTCTGTCTAGCCTACAGCTAAGATCTAGTTAGGCAGCCAGCAATGGACGACTGTGCAGGGCCGGCTAGGAGGTGGCCACATCAGTCAAGTCTGGGAATTGTGTACCTTAACTTCCGTTAGCCTCCTGCCCATAATCACCCCAGTTAGTGAAGGAGCAACAAACAGTATAGTGAGGCGAAGGGCCCTGTAGACACCGGTGGAACACAGGCCTCAGACCTGAGCCTCCTCATTTCCACAGAGGAAGCAGAGCGTGCCAGCCGAGATGTGAGAGCTTTGGGTGTGGCTCCCAGAGAGCCGGGAAGTTTGGCTGGCCGCAGAGAACTGGGTCTTAGGTGGGGAGGCTGGTCTTCCTTTTCCCTCAGCTAGATGCCATGGTCTTCACCGTGCCTGTTCTGCAAGTAGAGGAAAAAGGTTGTCCAATCCCTTTGGTTTATCTGTTTGTATTCCGGGCTTGCCTCAAACCCAATAAATAGCTAAGGGTGATCTGAACTTCTGATTCTCCAATGTTGGGATCACAGGTGTGGGCAGGAACGTGCCACCACTACCATGCAGTGCTGGGAATCCGACTCAAGGTTGTGTATGCTAGGCAAGCCTTCTACCACCAACTGAGTGACATTAGCAACTCTGGGGATCAACTCTCACCCCCAAGCAGAGCTTGTCGTAGTGACCATAAGCGGATGGCAGAGTGAACACCACAGCTCCTACAGGCGGAAAGACGCTTGAGGGGCATTCCTTCTTAGTGGGCACCAGAGAACTGTCAACTTTTGGGGGGTAAGGAAAGCGATGAGAGGCAGCCTGGTCCAGCCTTGTGGAGTCGCACCTTAAAAGACATCGTTAGCTAGAGCTTTCCAGCTTCCTCTTGGTTAGGATGAGGATCCAGACCGAAGTAGCTCCTCAGGTGTATGAGCAAGCATCCTGGCTCCAATCCAGGGCCTCTGCGCGTCTCGCCCCGCCCCTCGGGCTCCTTTAAGAGGCGGGTCTTGGCCGCCAGCCCCGGGGCCTCGGCCAAAGACTGGGACTTTACTCCAGCGGCTGCGGCGGCAAACCAGTCGGAGCTTCATCAGCTGCCGCAGGCGCCGCGCCCCGAGGCTGAGCCACGATGAGCGGCAGAGTCGGTGACTTGAGCCCCAAACAGGAGGAGGCACTGGCCAAGGTGAGCCTGCTCTTGGCCTGGCTGTGGCCCTCGCCCCTGGCTGCAAAGCGGCTGTGAGGGACGGTCCCCGCGGGCGAGCGACCGGTCGCCCCCGCTTGGCTAGTGCCCAGCGGACCGCTTCTCGTTCAGGGTGAGGACCTCGGGAAGTTTGGTCATCACGATCTCCAGCACGAGCAGCTCCGGAGGTGCCCTCTTGGGAAGAAGTGGTTGCTTGGAAGCCCTGGGAGGCAGCTGAGGGCACAAAGGCAACATTCATCCTCCGGGCTGGCAGAGACTGGTAGCAGGGCCGTGAGACAGGGTCAGGGCTCCAGGTTTCCTCCCATTTCCGGGAGGTTTTCCTCTTGCGGGGCAGTGGCATATGGAAGGGTCCCAGATAGCTCCTTGGCAAACTCCCCATAGCCCTTGCGAGGCACCAAGTCACTGTGCGACCTTGGGCCAAGCCCTGTCCTGTGTGCTCTTCGATGAAATGAGAAGAGTTGACTGTTGGGCACCTCTTGTATGTGAAGTCTAAGATGTCCCGGGATTCACTAAGTTGGAATCCTTTCGGAGAGAAGAGCTCCCCTCCCTCTGACAACCCAGACCCTTGCCTGGCAAGGGACTTAGTGATGCCACTCAAAAGGAAAAGACATGACCAGGCTTTGCCTTGGCACCTGGACAGAGAGGGACTTATGTACTCCATTCAAGTTCAGGAGCTGGCCCTTCTGGCCAAAAGACTTTATCTCCTCGGTCGTACGGGATCAGAATTGATGGGGTCCTGTCCCAGTGTTCCCAGCTGTGCAGTTTCTTATTTATTCCAGAGTGTGGCAGCAGATGTGGCTGCTCTGTATGACTTTATTCCCGTGCCTAGTTTGCAGCTGACCTGCAGGCTAAGTCTGTTGGACATAGGTTTGGTGGGGATTAAGTCAGGGACGAGGTGAGGTCCTTGGTGAAGGGTGGCCTCCTACTTGCTGTTTAGATGACCATTGTCCTAACTTTGGGAGCTACTGTTGGGGGATGGGAGGGTCTGATTAGACCTAACTGACCTAAGGCAAAGGTCAGAAGTAGCCAGTCCTCATTGGTCCCCTCTGGAGGTGTCCTACAGGTCAGTAACCAGTTAAAGGTCTCTCTGGGGTAGGAGGCTTAGAGAGGGCAGCAGGCTGCCTGCTTACTACTGGGTAGTGAGAGATTGGAGAGAGGCGTGACTGTCCTGGGTTACTGTCCTCCTCACTTGGTGGCTTTCTTAGTACTTTTCCCTTTTGTGGCCACTGCAGGAGCTGTCTGCACCATCTGGGTTGTCCTTCCCCCTCCCTCGGCTGCTTTTGTAGTCATCCAAACTCAGATTCACTACCATTTTTGTTTGTTTGTTTGTTTGTTTGTTTGTTTTTCGAGACAGAGTTTCTCTGTGTAGCCCTGGCTGTCCTGGAACTCACTCTGTAGACCAGGCTGGCCTCGAACTCAGAAATTCGCCTGCCTCTGCCTCCCAAGTGCTGGGATTAAAGGCGTGCGCCACCACCGCCCGGCTCCACTACCATTTTTGAACGAAGTCATTTGAGGCTACCATCTTTCTCCCCTCTGCTCCCCATTCCATTACCAAGGCGGCAGGAAGGCTGCAGAAGAAAGAGCCTGGGATCTGGACTCGCATCTGTATCCAGATGTTGGAAGTGTTGCTGAGCCTCTTTGTCTTTCATCTCTCCATCTGTAAAATGGGGACAGTGATACCTCTAGGGGCTCTGGGTGAGATGTAAGACACAGTGCCAAGACCAGTGCTGTGCACAGGACAGGTGCCTGGAATACAGACAGCATGAGCAGAGTGCCTGCTATCTGTCACTGTTGGTTGGGCACACACCTACTTACCTACCAGATTAGCATGGAGGTGTGCTCATAAGTGAGACAGGGCAGTGTCCTGTTCCCTGTCTGCGCCCTCCTTTCCTACCTAGCTCCCTGAGCAACACAGCCAATGCATGACCTTAACTCAGCCAGTGTCTACAATAGTATGTAAAGGAGGGCTCTGGCAAAGGCCCCTAACAGAGGGGACTCTGGGCAGACTGAGCCCGGGGACTTGGCACTCATCCAGCTGTCTCTCCCTATAGTTTCGAGCAAATGTCCAGGACGTGCTGCCCACCCTGCCCAATCCAGATGACTACTTTCTCCTTCGATGGCTCCGAGGTGAGGGAAGAGGGGCTGGGACAGGGGTGTGTTCTGGACGATAGAAGGATGCCCTCTGGAATCCCTGGCAAGCTGAGATAAAAAGATGGCCTGGGAATCCCCCCACAAGCCTCAGCCCTTCTACAGGATACAAACATGGAAGTTCAGACAGGTGAAGGGACTTGCTGGGTGAGCTGCAGGCAGGAGGAAGATGCAAACCTCTAGGTCCAGACTGTCAGCATCCTTTTATCTACTCTGTAAGTCTGCTCTGCAGACACAAGGAAAGCTAAGGCCCAGAAAGACGCCACTATGTAGAAAGTTGGAGGCAGACTGAGATTAGGACCAAGGGTCCTGACCCTGTCAGCCTAAATGAAGGGACTGTGCATGGGGACTGAGGAGGGCACCCTCTCCCCCTCCACAGACCAGGGTCGTGAGTTCTAGTCTAGCCATGTGCCAGCTTGGCTGTGACATCTGGGCCGAGGTCACAGATCTCTAGGCTCCTCCTCTGAGAAGTGGGTAAGACAGGGTGCCTAGCCTTCCTGCAAGACATGGCAGGACAAGGACTACCTGTGGAGTGGTAGGAACATGCTGCTAGTGTCAGCATCAGACTCAGCCCCCACTCCTTGCACCTTGTGTCCTCTTCCCTCTCCTTTCCCGTTATTCAAGGCAGGTACCACCTTCCGGGCTCTTCTGACACACTTTCATTTTTCCTTATAAAAACTTTATTGGCAGACATAAAACTGAGGAAATTCTCCTGAGTTGGGCTAGCGGAGCTCCAGTTCTTAGGTAGAATTCTGTCATAAATGTGAGAGAACAAGACCTGCCCTGTGCCACGTTCACACATCTCTGGGCCCAGGACGACTTGCAATAGACAAAAACATGTAATTTTTGTTTCCGGAAATTTAATAAAGCTGGCATACTCTTGAAGGCCTGCTAGCAACACCCCAGGACAGGTGTACCCAGGAGAGCCCTGTGCGGCTCATAGGCCTCTGGAAGTGTCATCTGCCCACCCTTACCCCACCACTTATATGATCTGGCCCCTTTCCCAGTCCACCTAGAGAGGGTGGAGGGGTGGTGTGGGGGTGGCAATAAAGTCGGTCTATGCTGGAGGAAATTTTGGCCTAGCATTTGCTTGAAAGGGTAAGGCTAGAAGAAGGTGGGTGGAGGGAGTGGGAAGATAGTAGCCTCCTTAAAGGGCCAGCTCCAAGATAATCCAACCACAGAGCTGCTGCTGGGAGGCAGAGAAGTGAGAGAGCCATTGAATAGCTCTGCTGCTCAGGCCACTGTGAGGTCTTAGCAGCTGGTTTCCTAGATACTAAACATTCGCTATCGTTATCCTGGGGCGGCATGAACTGTTTGTATAAGGCCTGATAGTTTAGCCAGGGCCTATGTCTGGTATTAGCCATACCCTTGTAGGCATTCCCATTTTTCAGATCAGAAAACTTAGCCTCAGACAGGGCAGGGGACTTACCTGAAGGCGCAAAGACAGTGGCAAGCACAATCACTGCCAGCACCTTTTCCAGCAAGCCACGGCTCCTTCCCAGTGAGCTGCTTGCTCCTGAAGGCAAGCATTGTTTCATAATCATTTTTGAGCTGCTGAGGATTGAACCCAGGGTCTGATGTGTGCCTGGCAAGCATTTTTATCTCTGAGTTACATCTCTGGTTTCAAAGGCTGCTTCGTAGAGCAGAGGAAGTTTCTCCTCTGTAGCTTATTTGTGCCTCATATTTTCTGGGCAGCAGCTCTGGCTTACTCAGACCATATTCTAAATTTAAATTGGAGGTTTTGTTGCCTTAAAAAACCTGCTTTTTGCCAGGCAGTGGTGGCACACGCCTTTAATCCCAGCACTTGGGAGGCAGAGGCAGGAGGATTTCTAAGTTCGAGGCCAGCCTGGTCTACAGAGTGAGTTCCAGGACAGCCAGGGCTACATGGAGAAACTCTGTCTTGAAAAACCAAAAAAACCAAAACAAAGCACACACAAAAGCAAAACAAACAAAAAAACCCTACAAACAAACAAACAAAAACCCCCGCATTTTATCCCCCTCACTTCTTTGATTCTAAAGGAGACCTCTGCAGTGGAATGTGGGATGAGCTTGGGGTTCAGGTTTTTTTTTTTTTGCTGGCCCTCTCCACAGACACATGAATTTCCACTGCCTCTCTGGCAGGAAGTGAGATCTGGGTACCCACTCCAGCAAGGAAGGTCAGTGAGCAAGACAGAACAGAGGCAGTAGGAGCCCTGAGAGAGAGCATAGCATAGCTGAGTCTGCAGCTTGCATGCCCATGGGATGGGCAAACCTGACTGCTCCTGGGCCAGGCTATTGTTCAGTGCCCCAAGCCAGGCTTTCAGGTGCTTGTGAACATCGTGGTGGGAGCCTAGAAAGACCGGACTCAATAGACATGGTGGAGAAGACCCTGAATGTTGGACCCTTGGCAGATAATCGTCAACTGGAGAAGTTCCCCCAGATAAGGAATATAGGTCATACCATTCACTACTACTGGATCCCTGTTGTCTAGGAAGATAAGGACTCTCCTCTCTAGAGGGCTGTCCTTTCTGTGAGAAACTCACTTTCATGCTCTGTCTCTTCTGTTACAAGAGGACATGCAGTTCTAGCTTCTTAAGTGGTATGGTCAGGCATACACAATATCTTGTCCGAGGTAAAACGCACAGGGTGGAGGAGCCAGGTACAGACCCACAGTACATTTGTCCCGAAGCTGCCCTGGCTGCTGGTGGCATAGGAAGGGTGGTAGTGAGGAAATTCCTGTCCAGCTTGCCAGAGTGGCTGCTCAGACCTGCCACAAAGGCTCTGGCACATGGTGGCGGTGGCCTGGCCAACCCTTTCTCATTTTCTCTTGTTTGTAAAAAGTATTTTAAGATGTGTAGTATGGCCGGGCAGTGGTGGCGCACGCCTTTAATCCCAGCACTTGGGAGGCAGAGGCAGGTGGATTTCTGAGATCGAGGCCAGCCTGGTCTACAGAGTGAGTTCCAGGACAGCCAGGGCTACACAGAGAAACCCTGTCTCAAACAAACAAACAAACAAACAAACAAGCAAACAAACAAAAAAGATGTGTAGTATGTATGTGTGGGGGGAGCACGAGGGAAGGGCAGTGAGAGAGAGATTGGGGGTGTGGAGTGCATGCCACAACACACATGTGGAGGGGAGTGGATAACTCTGTGTAGTTATCTTCCATTACAGGAATTCTGGGAAACAAACTCAAGTTGTCAGGTTGCTAGGCATGCATAGTATGCTTCTCTGTCCTTTGAACCATCTTACTGGCCCGCCTTTCTCTCTTTCTCTCCTTCTCTCCTTCTCTCCTTCTCTCCTTTCTTTCTTTCTTTCTTTCTTTCTTTCTTTCTTTCTTTCTTTCTTTCTCCCTTTCTTTCTCTCTCTCTTTCTTTCTTTCTTTCTCCCTTTCTTTCTCTCTTTCTTTCTTTCTTTCTTTCTCCCTCTCTTTCTTTCTTTCTCCCTTTCTTTCTCTCTTTCTCTCTTTCTTTCTTTCTCCCTTTTTTTCTTTCTTTCTTTCTTTCTTTCTTTCTTTCTTTCTTTCTTTCTTTCTCCCTCCCTCCCTCCCTCCCTCCCTCCCTCCCTCCCTCCCTCCCTCTCTTTCTTTCTTTCTTTCTTTCTTTCTTTCTTTCTTTCTTTCTTTCTTTCTTTCTTTCTTTCAGATAGTGTTTCAATATGTAGCATGAGTAAGCCTGAACTTCCTATGTAGTCCTGGGTGACTTCAAACTTGAGACCCAGCTGTCTCAGCCTACCAAGGCACTGCACCCAGGTTTAGACCTTTAGATGTACCATCCTGACTCGGATAGAGGCCCGGACTTCAAGAATGCAGAGTCAGGGAGCAATGATGAAGGCATTGTTGATAGCCCAAAGGGCAGCCTGTATGTTGGGGTTTCAGGACTATCAGCAGGTCTAGATGCCAATTAAATCCATAGAGGATGTGCAGCCAGGAAGGACAGTTCATAGATCAGAGTCTCAGAAACTCTTCAAACCAATGAAATGAAGGAGACTGTGGTGAAGAACTGGGAGACGTGTCAAAGGCCCTGCCTGTCTGTGGAGGGGGTGGAGGCTTAGCCAGAGCACAGGTGGGAAGGATTTGGGGTTTCAGTTGACTCTAAGCTCCACTTGAATGAGAGGCATGACTGGTGCCAAGAGAATTCTGAGTGTTTATTGGAGAAGGGGCAAACAACACCTGGGCTCAGCTTGTGAGGTTCACCTGGGAGAGGCCCCGACCAGGAGGACAACATCCAAAGGAAAGCCATCAGGATGGTTGTGAAGCTGGGTGTGAGAAAAGAAGGCTCCAAGGGGAAGGCCCCAGAGGACAGTTCAGAATTCACGTTTTAGGAGGCCTGTTGCATGATGGGGGGAGACAACCCTGTCTCTGGAGTAGACGGCGACATACCACTGACTGGTACACATGACAATTCTGGCTATCACGAGTAGCCTCAGGGACAGTGAAATCTTGGGTTCAGATTTGAGGACGACTTGGAGTGTGCCCAGGTGAACTGACTCAAGAACCCCGTTGTGCTCCTGTAAGGAATGTGTGGGTCTTTTAGAGAAATGTCAGGATTGGCTGTAGGCATATCAACTCCTCTACCTTTCCAGGATGTTCGGTCAACTCTGGCCCCAGATTCTGGGGCAGCTGTGTTTATCTTTGAACTGTGGATCCATTTCTCAGGGCTCGATGTGGCAGAGATAAATTTTGTCCTTGTGGGGTATGGCCAATTGATAAAAGGATCCAGGGTTCACTTTCTCTGAGATAAGACCCTTCACCTAATTATCTGCCCGGATACTCTGACCCCACTCCCAGCTGCCTTGAACTTGACCTGTCTAGTCCACAAACTCAGGGCTGTGCTGTTTTACAGGCCCTCGGTGAAGGCTCTGAGCCAAAGCTGACAGTTGGCTGGGGGAACCCACAAGGGGACTTGGCCCCAGCCTGGGAATGGGTCCTTAAGACATGCAGTCTGATACCCAACCCTGACCATACTTTTGTTACAGCCCGAAGCTTTGACCTGGAGAAGTCTGAGGCCATGCTCCGGAAGGTGAGCTGCTACTGCTACCTCCTACCACAGTTCCTCCCAGCCGACCCATCACCCACCCCGTCATAGATTTTGGTTTGTGTGATCCAGCTATTAGCTAATGATTGTTGCTTTATCCCTGAGGGACAAAGTGCATTTCCTTCCCTGGAAATATTGGGCTTTCCTACTTCCGGACCACTCAACAATGATATTGTTGCTGAGATATCTGAAGAAACTGGGGCCTCCTTTTCTACTCCTGTTCAGTTCCTTCTAGAGGTCACCTGTGCTCTGGTGGTCAGCTTGTGCTGACCTAGTTCTTCCTATTCAGGACCCCACCCCCACCATGCCTCGGGCTTCCTAATTCTTCCACCCCAAGCTTCCTAAATCTGTGTATTTGCAGCATGTGGAATTCCGGAAGCAAAGGGACATTGACAAAATCATCAGCTGGCAGCCTCCAGAGGTGAGAACAAATTATCCCACTCCATTCCTGTGTAAGGATGCCGTAAGACTCACAGTCCATTTCATGGTCTACTGGGTTGGGAGCCTCAGAGGACAGGCTGACAATGCCAAAGGAGTCCCTAAAGTTGTAAAATAGGTATCTTTGGCACCCAAGGGAGGGAGGTGGGAGGAGAGACTAATAGACCCAGGAAAGGTGTGGCTGTTTTGGGCCTGCCCACCAGGTGTTTTTACTGTTTTTGGCCAGGTGATCCAACAGTATCTGTCAGGCGGTAGGTGTGGCTACGACCTGGATGGCTGCCCTGTCTGGTACGACATCATAGGCCCTCTGGATGCCAAGGGTCTGCTGTTCTCCGCCTCCAAGCAGGACCTGCTCAGGACCAAGATGAGAGACTGTGAGCTGCTTCTGCAGGAATGTACCCAGCAGACCAAAAAGGTAGGTGGCCTGTGTGCCATGGAGAGTGACTGGATCATGGTGGTGGCATTCAAGGAGAGGCATATGTCACATACGAATGGAAGCACAGCCTCAGGCTTTGAGTTTCATGGACCTGAAATCTCAAGGTTTTAGATGAACAAAATGTCACCAATCCACCTTTCTTCTTTTCTCTCTTGTGTCCTCCCTCCCGCCATTCCTTTGCCTGGAGACTGAACCCAGGGCCTTGTGTGTGTTAGGCAAGTGTTCTTCTCCACCACTGAACCGCACCTCCATCTCCTCATGCTTTCACTTTGCTAAGTAAAACTTAAAGCAACCATCAGTTATTGCCACAAAGTATAGGAGCAGAGTACAGGGAAGACCTGGGAATAAAGGAAGACCTATACCCTGCAGATGCTTGGCTTAATAAAACCTCACTGGGGCAAGGGCCAGAGCTCAGGTGGTTCAGCGCTCACAGCACACCCAGGGCTTCTCCACCCACCATAGCAAAAGCCAACTTGCATTGCAGCAAGTTGAGTGGAACACACCTGCAATCCCTCAATCCACGAGTCTGAGGCAAGAGGGTCTTGATTTTGAAGCTACTCCTGGACTATATAGTGAGACCCTAGACACAGCAAAAGAAAAGTAAAAACTATAAATTATTACAGCTGGAGATGTCACTCAGTGACGGGCAGCTGGCCTCACACAGGCAGGGCCTGGGTTTAATTCTCAGCACAACAAAAAAAAACCCAGAAAGACAAAGTACGCCATCTCACTACACGGTTAGAAAACATCTTTTGTTTCTGTGAGGACTAGTGAGATCTTGTTTTGGATTGAACTACCCTTGGGCAAATATGGGGCTGGGGGTACTCCTGGTGCAGATGAACCCAGAACCCCTGCTCCTCCAAGTGTATTTTCAAGAGATGAGGGCAACAATTCCCTTGCTAAGACAAAGACTGAAGAGATGGTTCAGCTGGTCAGCAAACTTGCTAGCAAGCCTGAGAACCTATGGGGTGGAAGAGGAGAACCAGCTTCCCCAAACTGTCTTCTGAGCTGCACACTGTGGCATGGACACACAGACACACACACACAGACACAGAAACATAGACACACACAGACACACACACACACACACAGATATAAATATAATCTTTTAAAAAAGAAAGGAAAAGGAAGGACTGAGGACTAAGATAGAGGTGTCCCTCACCTTTCTTCCCACCCTCCACCCCCCCACCCAGCAGTTGCAGATATATTAAAGTATGGGGGCCTCCCAGCACTATTAGTTGCCAATGCTCACAAAGAGCCCACTCAGTACAGAACCCCTGAGAGGCTGGGCACACAAAAGAGGTTCAACTTGACACTTCCTTAGAGCTTAGGTAGGATGGAGCATCTATGCCTGAGTGAGAGGCCCTGGGGCTGCATGGGTGCTACCCAGGGAGCACACAGTAATTGACAGGAAGACAGAGGCCCTCAGGAGAACCCGAAGGACAGAGGGGACCTCAGATGTGATCTTGTTCCACCCAGTCATTTGCTAGAGGAGAACAGTTTGCCTAGGTCATTATTCCTCCCTAGGTGACACCTGCATGTGAAAAGCCCTGGGCCCAGCTCCCACCCACTGCTTGCTATGTGTGTACCTGAGCAAACAGCATGCCTGAATTGCAGTAGTTCTCCCGCAGGGTGGGGTGATGGCTTTCTTGTCTGTTACCTGTAGCTAGGGAAGAAGATAGAGACCATCACCATGATTTATGACTGTGAGGGACTCGGACTCAAGCACCTCTGGAAACCTGCAGTAGAGGCCTATGGAGAGGTGAGAGGCAGGGTGTGGGGGCAGGAGGGACTGCTTGGCTAGGCTTATTCAGAGGGTGGAGGGCGCTGTGGCCTGCAGCCCTGAGCTACTGAAACTAGACCAATTCTGTCCCATAGTTTCTCACCATGTTTGAAGAAAATTATCCTGAAACACTGAAGCGTCTGTTTGTTGTTAAAGGTAAGTTGGGAAGTTCTGGTGATGAGGCCAAATGGGAACAAGAGATTGAAACCGTTTCTTGGGGGGGCAGACTGAGTGAACAGTGAGCCAAAGGAGGGGCCCAAGAAGCCTGACATTGACCTTAACCTGTACAGATGCTTTACAGTTCCCAGAGCATTTGAGCCACCAGGCCCAGTAAGGATTCAGTTGGTGACGCTATAGAAGAGGCTGTCCAACCCTTGTACAGATTGGGAGCTAGACCCCCAGTGTGCCTGGCTGAGCCTCATGCTTAGATGCCCCATGGGCAGAGGTGGGTGGTAGATGACATAGTCAGAGCCTGAGTTAACCCTTATTCTCTGCTTCACATGGTCTTGTCTCTCTTCCAGCCCCCAAACTGTTCCCTGTGGCCTATAACCTCATCAAGCCCTTCCTAAGTGAGGACACTCGGAAGAAGATCATGGTTCTGGGAGGTAAGGAGCCAAAACTTGACAGAGGTGTGTGAACCGAGTTGGGTCTGGCCTTAGAGGTTTGGCCACAGCTTCTGGGGCTGCCTTCTGCTTTAGGCATAGTTGGGACACAGGGGCAAGTGAAGGCAGTCTATGCCTTCCTGTTTTCATAAGGCCATTTTTTTTCCTCAAATACTCTAGAAGCAAGCCCTGGGCTCACCATGTAGTCAGATGAATGGAATTCTAGTGCTTGTCCTTAAGGGGCTTAATTTAGGGGAGAGAGGACTGCAGAGAAAAGGCTAAGGAACAAACAAGAAGGCACTAGAAAGAGCATCAAGAGGTGCCATGGAGATCATTTTAGGACAAATACCTTTTCTGTGCCAGATCCAGGACGAGGTGTCAGGCTGCCAGGATTATTAAGACAGAGTCCCTTGGCCAGCTCTCAGGGAAGAGAGATACAAACATGCTTATGAAACTAGACCAATTCTGCCCCATAGTTTCTCATCATGTTTGAAGAAAATTATCCTGAAACATTGAAGTGTCTGTTTGTTGTTAAAGGTAAGTTGGGAAGTTCTGGTGATGAAGCCAAATAGAAAACAAATTGGTCTAGTTTCAAATCAGCATGCTGTGATACATGGAAGAAAGAGGAAAGCTCGGTGTACACTCACACGTAGGTACAACACCCATCCTGCCGGAGGTGAGAGTAGAGCCATGTCTACCCAAGCTAATACAGCAACATGAGCGAGCTGGTCACATGAAACAAAGCAAAAAAGAGGGACACCGAGTAAAGACTATGGGGCAGGTGCAGCAAGAGACAAGGCTGGAGAGGGAGCCAGAGCCAGGCCACACGGATACAGGACACCATGTTGAGAGGCTACAGCATGACTCTTTAGGCCCTGAGAACCAGAGGAGTGCTTAGCAGAGAGTACCATGGTCAGATTTTCAACTGGCTTATACTTATCAACAAGGCCATGAAAGCCAGATGCCGGTTCACATGCCATGCTGTTGCTCATGCAAGAGATGGTGTAAACTAAGGCAGCGCCCTCAGGAAAAAAGGAGGGAAGACTGGCTGGACTTACAGCTTACCTAGGAAGCAAAACATCAGACTTCAACAGGCTGCACAGAGGAGGTTAAAAGCATGAATGGATAGTAACCTTCAGCCGGAGCGAATAACTCTCAGGACGAGTGTGGGCACACTGGGGCTGGCTGAGCAAGACCTGCCTATGCTGAGGATGCAGGAGTCTGAAGTGAACTCAGGGAATATCCAAGTTCAAGTGCAGGCAGAGTAAAAGGATCCCACTGGGGAAAGTGGGACGTCATTAGTGACTGGCGAAGGAGCAGGGATTGGATATGCAGAGAAGTGGGAAGAATGTGTGACCCCCAAACCAGCCAGGTGGACACACAGGAGCCAGGCCCCCTGGCAGCAGGGAGCGGGCTGAAGGACTACGAGGCTGGACTGGGTCAGGCTCTGAGCTGAGCTGGCAGCAGTAATAGAGAGGTCTAAAGGAGTCTGCAAGGCTGCCTTTAAATAACGCACTGCAAGTAGCTGCTGTGGATTGCTTCTTGACCTTTGGGCTAAGGTCAAGTGAGAGTGGCAATTTGGGACTGGGAAAGTGGTGAATATCTATGATCCCAGCACTTTGGAGGTTGAGAATCTCCAGTTCCAAGTCTGTCTGGGTTGTACTCTAAGTTCAAGGCTAACCTAGGTTTCATAGTGGGACCCTGTATCAAAACAACAGTGTGGGCTAGGTTGGCTCCACAGGTAAGCATATGCTTGTCACCCAAGGCTCATGACCTAAGTTTGATGTCAGATTCCACAGTGGAGAGACAGAACTCCGCAACACATACATGCACTGCACACACACATATAATACCAATAGCATTTTTTTACAAGAACAAAAATACATTTATGATATTCCAGTACTGGGGGGGTGGGGAGAGAAAGCAGGTTGAAACTACAAACTACATAGTAAATTCCAGGCCAGCCTGGGCTACAGAGACTCTGTTTCAAACAAAACAAAGTTAGGACTTTGGCACCAAAGTCTCAGCTTTCCTCGAGATGGGAAGGCCTCTCTCCCTTAACCCAGCTCTCCTGTTCAACTGAGAGAAGATAAAAAGTCAGAGAAATAGGTTTTTATGGTTTCTGGTTTTACTGCTGCTACCACCCACCGAGTGCATGAGGCGGTTTGGTTCCCTGGCAGCAGAGCTATGTAGGAGGTTCAGTCTGTTCTCCTACCCACACTTAAAATTCTTTCAACCAAATGTCCCTTGGGCAGATTGGGAAGAAATAAGATCCCCAACAGAGGAGAGATAAAAGTTACTTCAGGGTGGTCACTAGAGTTTAGCAGTGCCAATGAAATCACCCCAAGGCCACAAATACCTGAGGGTGGGCAGACACAGGACTGTTGGGTTTGATCATCTGTGCACAGGATGCTAGGCTAGTCCCTGGCCTGGAGCTGCTGGCTTATAGTCAACTGATAGTCTATATAGTTAGAATGGTTTCTGGTATTAAGGTATTGTGCCAGGCTGGTATTTCCTGGGCAAATGGTTCTCAGCATTGAGAGTTAACTCAAGAGTTAATAATGGCTCCAATCAGGAGAGGATTTGGTTAGAGTAACAACAAAAAGCAGCCAATCAGCCCAAAGCTACAAGAACACAAGTGAAGTGGGTGGGGCACAGACAAGCAAGCCCACTTAAGGGGCCACTCTACTCACTCAGTAAGTCATGACTCAGCCCAGGAAATGTAGGAAAAGATGGGGGATCAGCATCACTGGACAAGAACCCATGGATTCAAGACTTCCGGTCCTGCCACATGCTCCTCTGCATGGAGTATAGTCCCCGCCTTTGCCCCCATTTGGCTTTTATTTTAACGTTTGTATCCTTTCCTGGGAGAGGTAATATACTAATTTACAAAGCCCTCTCACATATCCTCAGCTCATTCTGCTGCCCTCACAATCCTGCACAGCAGGCAGCTCAGAATGAAGTAGGTTCCGAGGTTGAGATGGTCAATCACCACGATGACAGCAGCCCCGGGTTTCTTTTTTTTTTTTTTTTTGTTTTTCGAGACAGGGTTTCTCTGTATAGCCCGGGCTGTCCTGGAACTCACTCTGTAGACCAGGCTGGCCTCGAACTCAGAAATCCGCCTGCCTCTGCCTCCCGAGTGCTGGGATTAAAGGCGTGCGCCACCACCGCCCGGCAGCCCCGGGTTTCTTAATCCTCGACTAGGCAGGGTTGTTTTCTGGGTAGTGGCTCTTCCTAACTCCATGAGCATGTATCACATGTTCATGAAGTGCTCCCCTTTCCCTGAGACACCGTCTCACTCTGGAACCAAGGCTGGCCTCAAACTACTGGTTCTCCTGCCTGCAACTGTGTACCATGCCCAGCATCTAGTGCTCCCTTCTAGAGCAGGGCCTGCCTTTTCTGCCTCTTAGGGCTGACCATCAGGTATGAAGTCTTGCCTAGTGATACCTTTCTGTCCTTCTCTCTCCTGCCAGCAAACTGGAAGGAGGTTTTACTCAAACATATCAGCCCTGACCAGTTGCCTGTGGAGTATGGAGGTACCATGACCGACCCTGATGGAAACCCCAAGTGTAAATCCAAGGTATGGGCCATCACCTGGATGTCAATGGGGGAGGACCTTAGCTCGAATGCGCACCCCAGCTCACCCTGTGCTCTGCTTCTAGATCAACTATGGCGGTGACATCCCCAAGCAGTATTATGTACGAGACCAGGTGAAGCAGCAGTATGAACACAGTGTGCAGATCTCCCGAGGCTCCTCCCACCAAGTGGAGTATGAGATTCTTTTCCCTGGCTGTGTCCTCAGGTAGGACTGGGTGCTTCTAGGGACCTGAGCTTTTGTAAATACCAGTTGGTGGGCTAGGTTAGAAGAACCCATTTGCCATGGACACACACACACACACAGGTGGATGTCCTCTGCAGGTGGCAGTTTATGTCGGAAGGATCAGACGTGGGTTTTGGGATTTTTCTGAAGACCAAGATGGGGGAACGGCAGCGGGCAGGGGAGATGACGGAGGTGCTGCCTAACCAGAGATACAATTCCCACATGGTCCCTGAGGATGGGACCCTCACCTGCAGTGAACCAGGCATCTGTAAGTATCTGGGTCTTGGTACCCCTTGAGGCGCATCACCTTCCTGCTTATTACGCACCCCTTCCTCGGTGGACTGGTCACCTCACGGTGTTAGAACAGGAAGGGGCACTCTATGGGGTCACCTATCCTGGCACAGATCAGGAAAAGTAGAATTGGAAAGACGCAGTGACTTGCTTAGAGGGCCCAGATAGCTAACAGCTGGCTGGTACTCTCCCCTAACATTCCCAAGTAGAGGTGACTCACTGTAACAGGTGAGTACAGAGGTTTAGAACATCTGCTTTTTGGGAGCTGGGCATGGTGGGGCATACCTGCAATGCCAGCACTTAGGAGGATAAGGCAGGATTACAAGTTGAAGCCAGCCTGAGGTACACAGGCTTTTCCAAGGCTGACTAGGTCCAAGACAACAGCCAGCCAGAAGCAGGAGACCCAAACTGTGTGGGTGGAGGGAATCTCCACAGGGCACAGCATGCCAAAAAAGGCCAGCCTTGAACTCTGAGACCGCTCACCTCCGGGTTGACCACAAAGCAAGTCCAGGACATGAGAAGGCCGCTTCCACATGACAGAAGCCCTCACAAAAGGTCATTTGGTATTGGCTTAAATTCCTTCGACCCAGAAGTTACAGTCCTGAAATACGTCCAACAGAAACCTTTACAAATATATAAAGCTAGAGGAACCAAGAAGTTCCTAGCAGCTGACAAAGCCAGTGGCATAGCTCATGGCCACAAGAAGGTTAATCTATTACAACAAAGCACCATGGAGTCATTAGAGAGAACACACTGACAGCTAAGATGTTAATTCACGTTAAGCAGGTAAACGTGAAATGCTGCATGTGTGGTACATGTTCCCTGAGGTTGAGGGGAAAGAGTGTGTATACAGAAAGGAACTCTGAGAAACCTACACTAACTTAGGACATTTACAGAGGGCTTTCTCTTTCCTCTATTTCTGTAAATATATTCTACAGTGTTGTATGGTATGGTATGGTATGGTATGGTATGGTATGGTATGGTAAACTAGTGTATAGTATAGTATAATAGTGTATAGTATAGTATAGTATAGTATAGTATAGTATAGTATAGTATAGTATAGTATAGTATGGTAAACTAGTGCATAGTATGGTATAGTATAGTATGGTATGGTATGGTATGGTATGGTATGGTATACTAGTATACTAATTAGTATAGTATATATAGTATAGTATTAGTATAGTAGTATAGAAAGAACAAATGTATGCAAGCTACACACAACAAGCCAGGCAAATTTCTAGTTTCCTTTCCGACAGAGTCAAGGGATAGAGTGTAGAAAAGTGACAGGCTAGGGCTTTACAATCAGATCTGAGCTGGACTTGCCCATTGGTTATGTGTGTAGACTTGGGCAAATGACTCAGCCTTCCTAAGTCTGTTTCCTGATTGCTGCAACTGGGATCTTACAGAGATGCCAGCTCACATGTGATAAGATCTGTGAGGCTATAGGCGTGATGCCAGAGATAGAGCATGCAACTCAGCACCTGTGCTCATCAGTATTATTAGAGCAACTGGGAGAGCAGGACCATCCCTGGAGACTATGGGGAAAGATGGGAGAAGTCCTAGGCTCCATTGCTGAGGCAGCACCACAGGGGTATGTACACTAGCCCCGCAGAGACCCTTCTATCCAGCAGCCTGCAGTTCTGGGGCTCCCTACCTTCAGGTACACTATGCACAATCTGGCTCCCTGAGGAGCAAGATCACCTCTTTTAGAGAGCAGCCAGGTTGCAGGAGAATGCATGCACTCTGTGGCACCAAGAACAAGGCTTACCACAAGCCAGACATTGTCATCTACAAAGGAGAAAGCTCATTATACACTTAAGGTTGACGTAAAAGATGAGGAAGCTGGAGGCTGGAGGGACTACTCAGCAGATAAGAGCTCTTCCAGAGGTCCTGAGTTCAATTCCCAGCACCCACATGGTGGCTCACAACCATCTGTAATGGGATCTGATTCCCTCTTCTAATGTGCATGTGGACAGAACACTCATATATTAAAATAAATAAACCTTTAAGAGATGAAGACGCTATGGAATAGACAGACAAGAGATGTTCTCTCTCACATTATGTTACTAGTATAAACACTAAGAGAGGATTCCAGAGGCTCCTAGTCACAGACTGTCCAGGAGACAATAAGACATTTATCCTTGATGTGACAAGAGTCTCAGATCAAGGAAGTCCTTCCACAAAGGCTGTGGAGGAGCTGGAGGGCTCCAACACAATTGCTTCTCTCTCATATCTGAAGGATAAACAGCTTTTCAATACACCCAGGATGGAACTGCAAATCCTCAATTTATTTTATTCCTTCCTGGATCTGTTCCCTATGAGATACTTACCTGCCTGGGGTCTGCTTGTTTGCTGGAGGAGCAGAGTCAGGCCACAGCAGCATAAAGTTCCCCTTCCCAGATGGAAAGGCAGCAGGGTAGGATCAGGTGTCATCTGGAGGCAGGGTCAAGGAGGCCATGGATTAGGTAAAGCGTACCTGTGGGAGGACAGTGCTGCTGTGGGCCAGGTAACCCTTGCAAAGTGGAGTGTTGTCACCCCATAGAGAATTAAGCCTTTGGGTATGTCAGCTTCAAATGGTACAAACATAACTCTCCTGGGCCTCTCTGGCTCATGTTTAGGTATAGCAAACATTTGGATGGGTTCCACCTTTTCTTCTCAGTTACTTACTGACAGTCTACTGTGTGGAATACTCAACTAGGGATAGAAACAGTGAAGAAAAGTCTGGGCTTTGAGCGGGAGGATACAGTGTGGTTAGGAAGATCTCAAACGTTGTAGGAAGGGCCCGGACAGCACCAGCTAGGCACCAGTACCTTCCTGCTTGCTGAGAACGTCTAGCTTTGTCACTGACTCTTTAAGAATGGACTTCATTTCCCTTCACCATAATGTAAAGGAGTGGGCTAGAACAGATTTCCTTCTGGTGTCCACGGACTCTCCAGAGAAGTGCTTCTGAATCTAAGAACCAACATTTTCTTCTTCTAATAGTGCCTACTGTCCCCACTGCTATTCTGAAATGAAACTCACAGATAATGTAACACACCTACACATAGCTTTAGAATCAATACTCTTGTGTGGAATATAAGGCAAACAAAAGGAAGCCAATGAGAATATAATAATTGTGAGGCAGCAGGGATTCAACCCAGAGCTCCCTGCATGCTGGGCAAGTGCTCTAACCTGAACCTTCGGCCCCGGACTTGTAATTTAAACAATTTCCACTACATATGTGGATTTGTAAGAGGATATCTCTTGTACTTCTTCCCTAAAGAACAGCATCTTTCCCTTTGGGACACTGGCCCTGATAACCTTAAGATGCTCAAAGGGGCTAATTACCCAACAAATGTTGAAAAATCCTATACCTGAAGGGCTCCAGGGCCTCCATGCGCATGCGAGTACATGACTAGTGTCACACTGAGACATTCGGACACTGTAGTGGCAGTGATGCCCCTTCTCTGCGCCTGCTATAAGGCCCTTCCTTGTTTTCGATGGCAAATATTTTGCTGAGCAAATCACCTCAATGCTGGTCTAAGGAGATCAAAGTATGATGAACTTGGGTTGCCAAGGCTGTCATCAGGACCAAGAGGAAGGAGTATGGATCTGCAGGACCTCTTGTAGAGATGAGGAAAAAGGAGTAGGTAGGTGCTGTGCTGACTGTAGGCCTCATGCAGTTTATCCAGGAGTGAGAAAAGGGAAAGCTGCTGAGGAAGCCAGAGAGCAGCACAGAAGGGAGGCCCTGCTGCTTTTGTTCTGTGCTTAGCTGTCTTGAAGGGGCATTTGAGTGAAATGGAACAAGCTTGCAAAGAAACAGGGTGAGAGTAAAAGCAAGCCTGTTCAGTTGCCAAGGCTTCGGAGCCATCTCTGCCAACTGAGGAAACCACAGCTAATGGCCTTCTCACCTGCCAGCCTACTGAAGGGTGTCTGTCCCTTTAGAGATGCATTTCCATAACAAGCCTAGCAAGTACTTGCACTGACACATTCACCACAGGATGTGAGAAAACCTTCCCTTCAAAACAGTGCTAGCTAGTATCAGAGAACCTAAGTGTAGACAAACAAAAAGGCCAAAAACTTTTGTTTTTACACATAAATTAACAAAAATGTTACAAATTGTTCTGCATGTATCTTTGCCTCTGCATGTATCTTAGACATTCACCCTTTCCTTTGTCTACATAGCCAGTCTGGACACAGTGTATATAGTCCAGGCTGGCCTTGAACTTCTGATCCTTGCTTCTTGTGTTGGGATTACAGGTGTACCAGCTAAGCTCTTTTTTATGTCAGAAAAGTGTTCCGCTATACAGATTACAACACAAATTCCTTGGGCAACTTTCCCTTGATGAACAGCCAGCCCATCTTTTTGTCATTACGGGCAGGCATGCAGTGAGCACCCCTGGCCCCACTAATTTTCTCAGAGGGTAAGCACCTGGTTCCTAAAGTCTGCAGAGAAGCAGGATGGTCTGGGTTCCCAGGATCCAAATCAGGCAGTACTATGATCAGGAATGCAAACCAGAGAAGGAAAGCCCAACCCTACCGTGGCTCACTGTGTGATGTAAAACCCTTTGAGCTGACCTAAATTCAGATTGTTGCTGACTTCAGAGTCCTGGTGAGGAGGAATGTGATCACACATACAGACTATAAACCCATGCTTTCACACATAGTATCCCCACAAGCACTGCGGCTGCTAACATTCTGCCTGTGTAACGAAGCCATGACTTTGGCCTTGGAGACCTTTTCCTTCCAAGCTGTTACAGATGTGAGTCCCTGTCGCTCGTCTTACTAGGCCTATTCTGCGTCAGACGGTTTTTCATTTTCTGAGCACACTCAGCAAGACTGAGTTCCAGAAGACCAAGGACTACTACACCACTTTGGCCTCCGTCTCCTACCACACCACCTTGCTCAGTCAGTACAAACCCATCCCTCTCACCACCCCTCACCTCTTGGTGAGAATTGCCTGAATGCTTGGTTTTCTGCTCCCTCAGATGTCCTGCGGTTTGACAACACCTACAGCTTCATCCATGCCAAGAAAGTTAGTTTCACAGTGGAGGTCCTGCTTCCAGACAAAGCAGCAGAAGAGAAGATGAATCAGCAGGGGGCAGTCAACCCCAAATAACATCTCCCCACCTGCAGCAGGCCTGGCCCCCTCAATGTCTTCCCATCAGTTTCTTTATAGTCATTTTTCCTACAACCTGTTAGCCCAAAGAAACTGGGCTAGAGGGAAGACTTCAGACTGGATGGAGCTCCCATTCAGAATCAGAAGAGGATAAATAGCCAGAGGAGTCCTCATCGTCAGAATACTAAGGGGTCTCCAGAGACCAGATGTAATGAACAGATGTCTACCCTGTACCCCTTGCCAACTTCACCTGCCCAGGGACAGCTGAGACAGGGAGGGGAAGGGTACACAGGATGGTGGCAGGGAAGAAATTAGACAGAAGTGAAGAGATTGGGATGTCATACTCAGGGAAGCCAGCTACTGGGGAGAAACTTGCTCCTAAATGACCATGGAACAAACCTCCATGACTGTAATGATGGTTGCAAGGGAACAGGCCGCTAGACGTGATGGGTATCCAAAGCTCTTTGAACCTTTTTGTCATAAGCCTTGAATATCTTGTCTTCCTTACCCATCCCCAATCCCAAATCTCAGGAGTGGCCCAGGTCAGCACTGGAAGGCTAACAGAGGGCCTCTCTCTCCCCTGAGAATCTCACTAACTCCTGGGCTCCACTGGCCGCCTGTTAATTACTAATGGTTGCCAGTGCCCCAGAGCTGTGTGGGACTTTGGTATCTAGCCGCTGTTCTCCAGGGAAAGAAACTCTCCACAAGCACAAGGGTAATTAATTTTGGGGGTCATAGATAAGAAAGGGCCAAGGAGGCTGTGGGTGGGTCCCATGCCTCTCACTAAGTAAACCTCCACTTGAGCAACCCTACACAAAAATGACAAGTGGGGCTGAAACAGCACTGAGTGCACGTCCCAGTCTAGTCTTCCACAGTGCCTGAGAACCAGTCTCCTGACATGAGCAAGGGCTTAAGCGGCAGGCCCTTCTCGTGGAGGCCTGTTCCTCTTGCCTGGGGACGCACACAGGTAGCCAGGATGGGAGGTTGCCCAGGAAGGTGGCCATAGGCTAGGCAAGCATTTGAGCCAGGGGAAAGGGGGGCCAGGCACAGGCGACCTTGCAATAGCAGCTCTTGACCCCACACAACTTAAGAGCCAGGTTACAGGCTGCCCAGAATTCGAGGAGGACTCAGGCCCTTGCGGGGGGGGGGGTGTCCCCCTTTTCCTTGGAATGAGGCCTCGGCCCAGCCTGCATACTCATTTCACAAAGCAGAGGGAGCTCTGGGCAGGTGCAGGGCTTAGCAACCAGAGAGGGCCGAGGCTACCCAGGATCTAGTCACATATCTCAGGAGCATATCCTGGCTTTGGTTTACAATGCTGTTAGGTATATTAACCAATGAATAAAGAAATCAATTTTCAAAGCAAAGAGCAGAATTCATTGTCCATCGCCGGTTTCCTAGCAGTCTCTTACACTAGACCCAAACTTCTCAGATGCCAAGTGGCAAGTTAAAATCACACACACACGCACGCACGCACACACACACACACAGGCGTTCTGTTCCTTTTCGCTCGCGACACGTGGACACACGCACGCACACATAGACAGAGGCGTTCTGTTCCTCTTCTCTCGCGACAACGTTCTCCAAAGTCCTAACGTTGCCTCCCGATTGGTTCAGCCGGTGAGTGTCTTCCGCCATCTTTGTTCATGGCACTCGGATGCTCCCGAGAGGTTTCACGGTGAGGGCGGAGGCCCCGCCCCATTCGGCGGTTCTAGACGTGTTGGGTGGTTCTTCCGCGCTGACCGGCGCGGCGGGCGTGAACTACGTCGGCAACGGACGGGTACTAAACGGGAGGGAGGCAGAGGATTAGCATCACGTGGCTTTAGGGACCGTCTCCGAATTCCTCTCCAGCACTACGGGTGTTTCAGGTCCTGCAGACAGATCTACCTTCCCCGGTGACCCACGAGTCTCAAGAGGACACGGGCTGAAAACGGTAGCTTCTATAGGGAGTTGGTATACACCTATCGGTTCTAAAAAAGCTAAAAGAGCTATGCAGAAACCCTGTTCTTATCTAGCTGGAAATTTTTGTACTGTGTAGCCCCAGTCAGGCCTGAAACTCCTTGTGTAGACAGGCTGGTCTCAAACGCACATAATACTGCCTGTTTCTGCCTCCTAAATTCTGAGCTTAAAGTACGCAACACCATGCCTGGCTTATAAAAAGACTTACGACCATATTTATTTGTATCTATCTGTATGTCTCTATGAGTGAATGTATAGGGTTGTGTGTGTGTGTGTGTGTGTGTGTGTTTGGGGGTGCGGGGGGGTGCTGCCTGTGGAAGCCAGAAGTGTCACATTCCCTCGAGGTGGAGTTACAGGTAGCTGTGAGAAGTAGATGCTGGGAATGGAACTCGAGTCCTCTGGTAGAGCTGTAAGCGCTCTTAACCACTGAGCCATCTCCAGTTTCATCCACTTTGTTTTACAAACGTGGGCACTGGGACTTGGAGAAGAGGTGGCTTACATCTACTAGGCGGCCCAAGTAGGGTTTGTCTCCAGCGGCCATAGCATTGTCCCTCTGAAATCCCAGAGAATCGATTTAGAGCGCTTTTCTCCCCAACTCCCTTTTCCCTTTTAACAGTTGCGTGAGTCAAGAGAGTGACTGTCCTCTTTGTGTCTCTAGAAAAATAGGACCCGACGCTAGTGCAAGTGCTTAAAGAAGCAAACCTAAGTCTACCGAATACATGATGATTGTTATAATTAATTAGTCCTTGAGGCTGTCTGAGGCAGTGAATGCTGGCACGCCTCCCATTTACACACAAACCGAGGCTCAGAGAAATTCACCTTTCCTAGAAGTCTCACACCTAAGAGGATACCATCCTCCGATTGGAACTATGACCTGTTTAACTCCAAAAATTAATCATGTCTGGGAGAGTTCTGCGTTAAGAGCTCAGAGAAAACACGACCATCTATCTACAAAACCGAAGCCTAGGAGAGGGGCTTGGGCGTATAAGGCAATTTTCAGACACTCCCTGCAGTGGCGAAAGCCCGACCTGTCCTTCAGCCTCGGACTACTGGCGGGTTCTTGCCAAGTGCTAGTGGAGACAGAGTTGTGGTGAGACTCTAATTTGCTGTGACTCCAACCGTGCCGGGGAAGTCATGTCGGAGCATCAGCGGCAGGGCGCCGAGCGCGACCTCTACCGGGACACGTGGGTGCGCTACCTGGGTGAGCGTGTTTCCCACCACTGGGGGGTGGGGAGAACAACCAACCAACCAGTGGTCCTGGGTTGTCAATCTGGAGTCTGAAAAGGGGCTTAGTTATTATTCGGCTTGGGCTGGAGGCAGGGCTCAGGAGAAGGCTAGGGACTTGTCCAAGGTCACACAACACTGTGGATCCAGCTCTGTCCATGGGACTCTTCTGGAGACACAAACTGAGTGCATGGGTTGCCCTCTGCCATGACCCTGCACTAGCCATGGGGTCAGCGGACTCCTAGAGCAGCCTGCCTTTCCCTGGCTGTTCCTAAGCTTTAATTTTCTATTCTGAAAAAGGGCTGAACGCTAGGCACTCTTGTCGGGTGCTGATTGTAAGAGTGGGCTGAGGTAAGGCCTTGAAAGACCTTGCACTTGATTGATACATGTCAGTGAAGCCCGCGTTCAGTTATTCCCTGGCCTCTGGTCGCCTCCCTGGTGCAGATCCCCAGAACCACGGCTGGGGACTTTGATCAATGAACCATGAACTTCACTGTCGGTGTCAGTCCACAAGCCTAGAAACCGAAAGATAAAGTCACTTGACTGAGGTCACCTGGCCCACTGTAGTTTAGCAGGTTAGGATTAGAAGCCGCTTTCTGTGTAGCGCCCCCTTGTGGAACAGACCAGAAAATTAAATGCCTTTTCCCTCCAGGCTATGCCAATGAGGTGGGAGAGGCTTTCCGCTCCCTGGTTCCTGCAGCTGTGGTGTGGTTGAGCTATGGCGTGTCCAGCTCCTATGTCCTGGCTGATGCCATAGACAAAGGCAAGAAGGCAGGAGAGGTGAGTGTTAGTTAACCCTTCTCAACCTACCCTAGTGTGGGTGAGTGTGCAGCCTTGTGTGTGGGACAGTCCTATCCCTGTTAGCGTCTCATAGTGCGGTCCATAAGCTAATTCTATTTATAGGATCGCTCATCCCCACTCGACCAAACCACATGGGTTGGTAGTAACAGTTGGTACCTCTCCTGGGTGTGGGCAAACCACCCCAATCCTGAATGTAGTACAGCCCAGAGTCTTCCTCCCTGCTACCCTGCTACCTCCTCTTACTCTTTCTTCCTCTCTGGTTCACCTTCATGTTTCTGTCTATAGGTTTCCTACCTCTGCCCCAGCTGGGTTAAATGTCTTTGTACCTTTCAGGTGCCAAGCCCTGAAGCAGGCCACAGCACCAGAGTAGCCCTGGCTGTGGTAGACACCTTTGTGTGGCAGTCTCTGGCCTCTGTGGTCATCCCAGGCTTCACCATCAACCGTCTGTGTGCTGCCTCTCTCTATGTCTTGGGTACTATGACCCGTTGGCCCCCGACTGTTCGAAAATGGACCACTACCACACTTGGGCTGCTGGCCATCCCCGTCATCGTCCACCCCATAGACAGGTAGGTGCCTTTCTAGTCTCGGGGACCTGTCACTCTGCAGGAAGAGTTAGGCTGTGAACTGTGGGCATAGGACTGGGGCAGCAGAGGCAGGGTTGAAGTAGAGAGGCCATCTGTGCTCTTGTCATATGGAGCAGCAGAGCAGCAGAAAAGGAAGCAGAATGCCTTATGGGTACTGGACAAAGGTCATGTAAGTTCACAGAAAGACCAGTGCTGCGGAATAGCCAGAGGTAGCCAGGAGCAGGGGCCCTGGAGTGCTGAGTGGGAGGGAGATGATAGCGACATGAGTCAAACTCAGTTTGCTCGGTAAATACAAAATAAAAGTCTTGGGATGTTTTCTGCATGGCTGGATCCGGGCCTCCGAGCATGGCTGCCACGCAGCCTCCTTCAGCTCCTCTCTCCATCCTGTCCTGGTGGGTTTCACTCTCCCGCCATGTCCCAGTGACTCACAGTATCCTGTCCCTCCCAACATCCTAAGCCCCATCAAAACTTCTCCATAGTGAGAGCAAAAATCCCAAGGAAGATTTTTATTGGTTCATTCAGTTGAGGGGCTTATGTCTGAGCCATTGTCCTTCTGATTAACCAACCCTATGTCATGCACTTGCTCTTAGCACTAGAGGTAGGGCCAGGCTGGTGAGAATGCTCAGTGGGTATGAGCTCTGGCTGCTCTTCCAGAGGTCCTGAGTTCAATTCTCAGCAATGACATGGTGGCTCACAACTGTCTGTAATGGGGTCTGATGCCCTCTTCTTACATGTAGGTGTACATGCAGATACAGCATGCTTATGCATTGAAAATACAAAGATGTTTTGTTTTGTTTCTTTGAGATAGGATTCTCTGTACAGCCCTGGCTATCCTTGAACTCAGAGATCTACTTGCCTCTGCCTTCCAAGTGCTGGGATTAAAGGTGTGTACCACCACTGCCCATTTACAGAAATAAATTAAAAAAAAAAAAAAAATATATATATATATATATATATATATATATATAGAGAGAGAGAGAGAGAGAGAGAGAGAGAGCGTTAGAGGTAGAATATCAATCAAAGTACAAGGAGAGTCTCACTGGTGGCAGGGATGGGGTGGAAGGGAGCATAACTTACCCTGAGCCTCACGGTGAGTCCTTTACCCACTGTGCCTCAGTTTCTCCAGCTATAGAAAGAAAAGGAAGATGGCTGTTATTCTTGGAGGGTGGGGAAAGGGTAAAACGTGATTTCCCTAAGGAGCCCAAGTGAGAGGAGAATGATAAAATGGATCTTGACATGGTTGCTGTTGGTACCCTGTATTGAGGAGTCTCTCCCCGTATCTCCCTGTAGTCTGTGTGTTTCCTTGGCTACCTGCTCAACAGGCCTTCTCTCTCTGTAGGTCAGTGGACTTCCTCCTGGATTCTAGCCTTCGCAAGCTGTACCCATCAGTTGGGAAGCCCAGCACCCCCTGACCCGGCTCTGGGCCTTGCCTGGGGTTGGCTCACTCACATCAAAGAACGTGGATACATGACTGTTTGGGGTCCATGGCACTACCATCTGAGTGGGTTCAAATTGATGAGAGCTTAGAGACGAAAGCCCTGGGGCATAGTGGCTGTAGCGACGCCCAAGGGTGGGACCCAACCCTGTCTGTATCAGTGGCCTTGGCTGTGCTGAGTGGGAAAGATCTCTGGCTGGGCCTGTCTTTTGAAGTCCTTTTTAAAAAAGTATTTATTTTATGTGTATAAGTGTTTTACTTGCATGTATGTATGTGTTTGCACCACCCTTTGAGGTTAGAAGGGGTGAATAGATGCCCCTGAAGCTGAAGTTAGGGATGCTTGTGAGCCACCATGTGGGTGCTGAGAACTGAATCTGGTTCCTCTGCAGGAACAGCCAGTGCTCTAACCACTAAAGTACCTCTTAGCCTCCAGGCCTATCTTCTGATAGAAAAGTTGTATCCTCCCATGGAGGAGAAAGATATTAAGTCCCAGGGAGGGGAGGGAGTACTCCTGAGATCATGTGACAATCGAGGACCAGACTTCCAGCTATTCTAAGTCACTTTGTGCTAATGTGGCTGAGTGACTTAGGGAAAGACACAGAGGTACAGCATTTGGGACACTCAGGGCAGAGTCTCTGGCCAGTCCATCCCTGCTGCAGGAGCTGCTAGGGTCGGGTTTAGAGGCAGGACAATCACAAACCAAGTGCTACCCAATAAAACTTTCAAAAATGACATCTTCTTCTTTTCTTCCTGGGGATAAGCAGGGTTGTGACTACAGCATGGTGCTCCTTCTGGAACAGGTAAACTGAGGGAGAAGTGGGCTGGTCTCCTGCCTCTGCAGGAAGGGCTGTAGGGAGAACAAGGGAGGGATCCAAGCCTTTTCAAGAGCAATATCAGATCCAAGGAAAAGAAAAAGGAAAAAGAAGTCTGAAATGAAGGTTGAGGTAGAGAGAAATGGGAGGTGCTTTGTGTTGTGGGTGGGGTGGTGTCTTAGAGTTTCATTGCTGTGAAGAGACACTATGACTAAGGCAACTCTTATAAGGGACATTTAATTGGGACTGGCTTACAGTTTCAGAGATTCAGTCCATTTTCATAGCAGGAAGCATAGCAGCATGCAGGTAGACATGGGGCTGGAGAAGGAGCTGAGAGTTCTACATCTTGATCCAAAGGTAGCCAGAGACTGACTCTTTCACAAAGGGTGGAGCCTGAGCGTAGGAGGAGACCTCCAAAGCCCAACTCCACAGTGACACACTTCCCCCAACAAGGTCACACCTCCTAACGGTACCACCCCCTTGTGGGCCAAGCGCATTCAAACCTCCACCTGTCATATTGTCCAAGATGGCTCTCAAGATCTGTGGCAGGGAGTCTGAACTGGATTGTAAGAAGTGATTGGAAAATCTTGGAGAAGATATGGAGGGAGAGGAACCCTTATCCACTGCTAGTGATATGCAAACTGGTGCAGCCATTATGGAAGTCAGTATGAAGTCTCCTCAAAAAGTTAAGAGGATGACCATCTGGCCTAGCTGCAGCACTCCTGGGCTTAGACCCAGAGAACCCTGTGTCCTCACGCGGAGACATCAGTCTTCACTGCTACTCTAGTCACCACAGCTGGGAGATGGAGCCGGCCACCCACAGATGAGCGGAGAATGAAGGTGTGATGCACGATGGAGTCTGTCTGTTAACAAGGCAATGATAATTTAAGGAAGTGGATGGAAGGCAGAGCATGTCTGCGTCTTACTTGTAACTGTTTATGCTGTGAGGCCTCTGCTAGGTCATTTGCCTTCTCTGATCCTTAGGATCTAGATCTGGAAAGGAGAGTCGTGCCATCTACCCTCCTCCTGGGCTAGCAGGGGGGGCCAGAGCAGTTACGTTGCTGGTCAGTGTTTAACCACTGACTGCCTTAGGATAGGAAGACTCTATTGTCCATTTCCATGGTGAAAGCACACTCATCCTGTCATCTTTGAAACTATCCAAGTGAAGGCCTTGAACACAGCCGGGGAAATCATGTGATATAGCTGACTGGCAGAAGCCTTTCCTTTCAAGGATGCCTCAAACCACAGACACCGGTAGACCCTCTATACTGTGTCTTATCTGGCACATATAGAAATAGGGATTAACTGTAATCATTATGTCATGAAAGCCATCCCCCTGCAGGGAACTAGGCAACATTCTACCCACCTGGTGAGATCCTAGCAACAAACCAGTTTGTCTTCACTGCGGTTCACTGGGGAACGAGCACCTTAGGTTTGCAGAACATGTCCGAGGAGTTGCAAACAGGAGCACCAGTGACCCTGAAGCACACACAGGAAGGCATGTACCCAGCATGGATGATGGCTTCCCCATGGCTATACAGATGAAGCCACCTCCCTGGTCCTTCCTTACCTAACTATGTCTAGTCATTCTCTGAGGCCTCATGCCATTAGAACAGGCATGCATAGGCCTGGCTGAGAGGAGAGGCTGGACACTGTCCTATGAAAAACAGTCAAGTCGACAAACCCCAGCTGTGGCTATCTTTTGTGAGTGGACACAGATGAACTCATGAGGATGGTGGCCGTTTGGCTCTTAGGAGAGTCCTGTGGGACCAACTACAATGGCAATAATAAGCTAGAACAATGGTAGCCAAATCTTATAGTAAGAACTATTCAAGACTCACAAACTGCTTGTCTCGGGAATTCTCCACTTAATACTTAGACTGCAACTTATTACAGTAGCTGGTGCATAGAAAGGAAGACCAACAATGAGGCTGCTGGCGATACATGTACACAGTATCAGTAGGGATGAGATGGCTCAGGGGCTGAAAGCACTTGGAGTCCTGGAGGTCCTACAGCTTGTCCTGAGATTCATCAGTGATCCTTACCATTGTACCATGGAAGAAAGGGTGTGTCAGCCGAGGGTAATGACTTCACGCTGTAAGTAAGTAATAGAGGAAAATTAAAAAAAAAAAAACCTGAGGACTGGTCATGAGACAGAAGCCTCTAGCCAGGGTTGGTGGTGCATTCCTTTATCTGAGCACTTAGGAGGCAGAGTAGAGACAGGTGGATCTCTGTGAGCTCAGGGCCAACCTGGTCTATACAGAATCCAGGCTAGCTAGGGCTACATAATGAGATTCCCCTCTCAAACAAAAATGAAACAAAACATCAAACAAACAAATCTCCAGAGTTCTCCTAACCTCAGCTTCTCCAGATTGGTACAACTGGTGACAATCTCAGGACCACCTGTCATGGCATCAACGTTTGATAGAACAGAATGGCCCACAGGAATGGCCTTGCTGGGTTTGAGGATTGTTCAACACTTCCAGTGAGCTTTGGATCAGCTCTTGGCTGAAGTCTGCCTGGGCCCCTTTGTGAAGGCTGAGTGTTCACAGTCGCCCACTACTCTTGACCTGTTCCATTCTAACACCTCATTTCCGGGATAGATGAGAATAGCTAACGAAAATGTGCATTTGAATTTTAACATTCCCCCCTCTACTTGCAGCTGAGGAACTCTGACCTTCAGTGGCTTCTAGAAGCCTCTGGATACAGCTATTGATGAGGTAGGTCTGTCCCTCCCTGGCCTTTGGGCTGGAGGACATGGCTTTCTAGTGTCCTGAGGGAAAGGCCCCAGGGAGGTTGCTCCTGTGTCGGGATGACTGCTCTGATCATCTTGGCCTTTAGTACCCATGCTGATGGCCGTCTCCCCCCACAAGCTCTACCCCAGAAGGTTACTTCTTGCTCTGACTTTTCAGACTCTCTGCTTCTCAGAGCCAAGAGCTGAGCATTTCTGCCCAATTACATCCCTTCCACCACGATACTCTGCCCTCCTCCAGGCTCACAGTGATGGGTACAGATCAACCACAACCCAAGACTTCAGAAACCATGAAAACCAATCCTCCCTCCCTCAGGTTATGACAGGTATTTTGGTCATCATGATAGAAGGTTGACGTGGCTGTTTGACAGCTCATTAATTCCTGAAAAATCAGCAGCTGGCTCTGGCTCCAGTTCCTACCAGCTAGCTCTGCTCCACAGGTAAGAGGCTGGGCAAATAGATCTCAGATGGGCTGCCTCGATCTTTTTCTAAAACAACCTCTGCCCTAGTTGTTCAGTGAACCCTCCACCAGGGACAAAGGGACACGACTGTTCCTAGAAGCCGCAGGTTTCAGGGACAGCCTCACAGCATGGTCTGAGTCCACACAGTAGGTACAGGCCTTGCTACACAGAGGGATGTCTGTCCCTGGGTTGAGGGCCTCATTTCTGCAGTCAAGACTTAGAAGGACTGAGTAATCAAGCATTACTATTGCAAAACTCTGTGGGTGCTAAGGGCTCCTCAGACTCCACTGTTTCACCCACAGTAGCTGATGATGTAAATGAGCAGACTCTGTCATCAGTGTCAGTGAACTGTGGAGGCCTTCCAGTGTAAGAGGCCAGGACAGTTAGAGTTTGGAGAGACAGAAAGTATGACCGTCCAGACAGGGAGGAGTCTGGCTGATATAGTTTAGGTGGGAGTGGTCATGTCTCCACATGTCTCACCTCTGCAGATTCAACCCACCACAAATGAAGAGGATTTGGAAAGCAAATGGCATGCACACAGACATCTTGCCACAATTCTGTAATCAACACAGTTTAAGAACATGTATGCATACTGGGCAGTGGAGGCACATACCTTTAATCCCAGCACTTGAGAGGCAGAGACAGGCGATCTCCTGGTTCAAGGCCAGCCTGGTCTACAGAGTGAGTTCCAGGAACAGCCAGAGCTACTCAGAGAAACCCTTTCTCAAAGCCAGCCCCCCTCCCCCCAAGAGCATTTCTGCAGCATTTGCTTTGTATTCGGTGTGATAAAGTAGCATTGTGATGGTTTGAATCTGAAGTGTCCCCATAGGTTCATGTGTGAATGTTTGTTCCACGGTCCTATGTTGGTACCGTTAGGAGGTGGGGCCTGGCTGGGATCAGTCTTTGAAAGCTTTGCCTGAGCTCTGCTTCCCACCCATATCCTCTCTGCCTTTTAATCCACCAGGGTGTGAGGGGTCTCTCATGTTCCCACAGCAGCTCCTGCCATGATAGTCTAACCTAACCAAGAGATGTGTGGCCGTGTGGCTGGAAGAGCTTGTCATGCCTGGATTAGCTGCTTCTCCATTGGTCACAACACCTGACAGAAACAACTTAAGGGGGAAAGGTTTACTTGGCTCGTGGTTCCAGGGCGGCAGGTCTTGGCTTCCAGAGCCCCTTTGATCCCTCACCAGCAGTCATGGGACCCACCAAAGACTCTGCTAATCCAGACATGGGTAGAGGTTACTTCGCCATAATGAGTTTGCCTCTTTGGTAGACCCTAGATTGTGAGGACTCAGCCAAGGGTCAGTCACACCCGACTTGTGGCTTTAGGCAGAGTAGAAAAGAGGAGCTGAGGTCTGCCTCAGATCCTTGCTCCCGCCTCTCAGCACTTTTGAGGTGTTTGCTGCCAAAGATGGGCTAGGGAGTCACCTAAGAGTCCAGAAAATGCCTTATGGTAAACAAGCCATCCCCTTATCCCAGGAGCTGGTAAGAGCTCGGTGGCCACTCTTTCTCTGCAGAAGTCCTAAGTTTTTTTATGGCAGGACTCTCATTTGATTCAGGGGAACCCCATTGGGCTCCTTGAGGCTCACATGGAATATCCCTAGAAGGTTCCCCTCCCAAAGGAATTGGTACAGCAGACGTGGGTAAGATCCACACCAAAAGAGGCCAGTAGGGACTACGATAGACCCCAGGCATCTTCAGGAAAGAGT